CATCCTCCACTGCACTCCCTGGCCACAGCAGAGAGCTGGCCTGGAAGAGGAGCAACTGGGACTAGAACCCATGTGGGATGCCAGCGCCACATGCAGAGGATTAACCAAGTGAGACACAGCGCCAGCCCCCAGCAGTGTATATTGGTTCTAACTTCTCCATAGTCTCACCAACACTTCTCATTATCTGACATGTTGAAAACAGTCATCCCTAGGAGGTGTGAAATGGTACCTCGCTATATTAGTTTGGATTTGTATTTCCCTGATTACTAAATAATACTGCGGCCGGTGCCGCAGCTCAATAGGCTAATCCTCCGCTTGCAGAGCTGGTACACCAGGTTCTAGTCCCGGTCAGGGCGCCAGTTCTGTCCCGGTTGCCCCTCTTCCAGGCCAGCTCTCTGCTGTGGCCCGGGAGTGCAGTGGAGGATGGCCCAAGTGCTTGGGCCTGCACCCGCATGGGAGACCAGGAGAAGCACCTGGCTCCTGCCTTCGGATCAGTGCGGTATGCCAGCTGCAGCGGCTATTGGAGGGTGAATCAACGGTAAAAGGAAGACCTTTCTCTCTGTCTCTCTCTCACTGTCCACTCTGTCAAAAAAAATGATAATAATACTGAATATATTTTTATGTACTTCTTGGTCATTGGAACATTATTTTTGGATGTTTCACTCTAATTATACCCTCTCTAAATATAAATTTAAGCAATACTCAAATACTTAAGCCCACTAAATAAATATATCTGCATTTGATAAGTTTTATATATATATATATATATATATATATAAAATTTGTTGAACAAGTGGTTCATGGAAGTATGTATTATATGGATAAACCTCCATGCCAGATGTTAAGAGATTTAAAAGCATAAAATAATGTTCCTTCCATTAAGAGTCTTTTACAGGAGAGAATGTTCCAATCTCTTTAGAATGACAATAGCTTTAAGTAACACTCTGACCTCAGAATCAGCCCTTAAGGCTTCCTGGTCTGGCTGAAAAGCCCACGAGAGTATTTCAGGTGTGGAAAGCCAAGACACTGTGGCAAAAAATGTTCATTCTCACTCCTCCTCTGTGAGTGAGACCCCAGCAGAAAGACGTGGCCATCAAAGAAGGAGGTAATTTTCTCTAAAGCGAGGAGAGAACTTCCACTTTGCTTATAGCCTTGTCTAAATACAGAGTCTGTGAACTCAAAAGGCTTCCATAGCTTACACAGCTCATGTCAAGAGCTTTGGTTGGTCACTGACATCATAATAAGAGTTTTAATTGTTAAATAACACAGGAGTCACTGTGCACTAACTCCCCATACAGGACCTCTGTCCTCAATGAGTTGTATTATGAGAGTTAACTATAAAACTAGTTCTCAGTTTTTGTGTGTGTGTGTGTGCATGTATGTGGAAAATGTTGAAATCTTTAGTTAGTACACAGTTGGTTTTCAGTGTACAGTTAACTGAAAATGATTCTTAATGGAGAATGGGACTGGGAAATGGAGAGAGAAGAGGGGGAGGGGTAGTAGGGTGGGTGGGAGGGTAGGTATGGTAGGAAGAATAACTATATTCCTAAAGTTGTACTTGTGAAATTTGTATTCTTTAAAAAATTAACTAATTAAAAAAGAGTCTTTTACAAAATAGAAACAGTTATTCTTAAATCTTTAATCAAAATATTATAGTCCATTTGTGACTACTTTGTTTATCTCTATTAGTATTTATATTTTGGATAATTCTCAGCCAGGGGTTGTTTCTCTGTTTATATCGAGCTGTCCTGGAAGAGGGGCAACCGGGACAGAATCTGGCGCCCTGACCGGGACTAGAACCCGGTGTGCCGGCGCCGCAAGGCGGAGGATTAGCCTAGTGAGCCGCAGCGCCAGCCTATATCAATGTCAACATATACAGTATTAGGGTCTAGTATTGTGGCACCATGAGTTGAGCTGCTGTCTATGATACTGACAGCCCATATGAGAGCCAGCTTGAGTCCTGGCTGTTCCACACCCAATCCAGCTCCCGGCTAATGCTCCTGGGAAAGCAGCGGAAGATACCCCAGTGCTTGGGCCCCTACCACCCATATGGGAGACCTGGATGGAGTTCCAGGTTCCCAGCTTTAGCCTGGCCCAGCCCTAGCGGTTTCAGACATCTGGGAAGTTAACGAATGGAGGGTTTCTCTCTCTTTGTGGCTCTGTCACTCTCTCTCTCTTCCTAAGTAACTCTGTCTTCCAAATAAGTAAACAAATAAATCTTTAAAAAGATTTTTAAAAATGTGTATAATATTTAATAACTCAAAGGAAAGGACAAGATGCTTAAAGCCATACTGAAAAGTTATTATTTTTAAGTGACTTTAAAAAAAAAAGATTTGATTATTTTATTTGAAAAAGTTATACAGAGAGAAGGAGAGGCAGAGAGGGAGAGAGAGAGAGAGGGAGAGAGAGATATCTTCCATCCGCTGGTTCACTCCCCAGTTGGCTGCAACGGCCGGAGCTGCACCGATCCAAAGCCAGGAGCCAGGACCTTCCTCCAGGTCTTCCCACGTAGATGCAGAGGCCAAGAACTTGGGCCATCTTATATTGTTTTCCCAGGCCATAGCAAAGAGCTGGATTGGAAGAGGAGCAGCTGGGACAAGAATTGGTGCCCATTTTTTTTTTTAAGACTTTGTTTATTTGAGAGGTAGAGTTAAAGACAGAGGGAGGGAGAAACAAGAGAGTGAGGTCTTTCATCAGCTGGTTTACTCCCCAAATGGCTGTAACAGCTGGAACTGGGCCAATCTGAAGCCAGGACCCAGGAGCTTCTTCTGGGTCTCCCTTGTGGGTGCAGGAACCCAAGGACTTGGGCCTTCTTGTACTGCTTTCCCAGGCCAGAGCAGAGAGCTGGATCAGAAGAGGAGCAACGAGGACACGAACTGGTGCCCATATGTGGTGCCGGCACCGCAGGCGGAGGCTTAGTCCACCATGCCACAGCGCCAAACCCTTTTAAGCGACTTTTATCATGAATTATTTTTAGCTAAAGTTTTGAATATTGTAAAAAATAAATTTAAATACTTGTAAAAAAATCTAGTAATTTTAAATATGATTTCAAAAAATTAGGCTTTTAGGTGTGCATAATATATATTATATTTATAACAGATTATGTATATAATATATAGATACTGAGGAGATATTGCTTATGTTTATTTCAACAACTTTAGACACCTATGTATGTATTTGTAAAAATACTAAAGGAATCAGAGGAAAAAACTTTCTCTAACTTCAGCCTGAGTATAAGCTACAACTCCAATGACTGAAAATGACAGTTTTTGGAAAGATGATTTTAAAAAATCCTTCCATAGTGCAAATATGCAGCAAATTTTCAAGGTTGTTGTAGGTTATGTTTCTTTTCAATGAAAGTCCTTTACCCTTAAGTGTAAAATACACATAATTTTAACTGTTAAAATAAAAATTAGGGGGCCGGCACTATTTCATTACACAGAAATATCTATCATTTGTATCGACCCTCTACATATTTTTGCATTTAATCAATTGGAACAATGATTAAAGTCTTAGAAACTTCAAAAAAGGAACTGGAGGGGCTGGAGCTATGGTGTAGTGGGTAAAGCTGCTGCCTGCAGTGCTAGCATCCCATATGGGTGCTAGTTCTAGTTCCGGCTGCTCCTCTTCAGATCCAGCTCTCTGCTATGGCCTGGGGAAGCAGTGGAAGATGGCCAACGTGCTTGGGCCCCTGCACTCATGTGGGAAACCCAGAAGAAGCTCCTGGCTCCTGGCTTCAGATCGGCCAGCTCCAGCCATTGAGGCCATTTAGGGGAGTAAACCAGTGGATGGAAGACCTCTCTCTCTGTCTCTGCCTCTCTGTAACTCTGCTTTTAAAATAAATAAATAGAGCTAAAAAAAAAAAAAAAAAGAAAAGAAAGAAAAAAGAAAAGAAAAAGCTTCTCAGAAGCAAAACCTTAAAAAATTAAAAATTAGATTCACAAGCTATTTTCCACACAAATTAGTTTATATTTCTAACTTCAAACATGAGAAATTAATATGTTTTTCAAGTTAGTGCTTAACCCCTTTGTATAAGCCTTTGATTGACATTTTTTTTGACAGGCAGAGTGGATAGTGAGAGAGACAGAGAGAAAGGTCTTCCTTTGCCGTTGGTTCACCCCCCAATGGCCGCCATGGCCGGTGCGCTGATCCGAAGCCAGGAGCCAGGTGCTTCCCCCGGTCTCCCATGCGCGTGCAAGGCCCAAACACCTGGGCCATCCTCCACTGCCTTCCCGGGCCACAGCAGAGAGCTGGACTGGAAGAGGAGCAACTGGGACAGAATCCGGTGCCCCGGCCAGGACTAGAACCCGGGGTGCCGGCGCCGCAGGCAGAGTATTAGCCTATTGAGCTGCAGCGCCGGCCTGATTGGCATTTCTTTGAGGTTATAGCTCATCGAATCATTCAAGAGAATTTGTGTCTGTGACATAGCCAAACATGCTCTGGCAACCACTACATAATTAGCATATTTAACAAACGTTCATAGATTGGTTTTAAATTTGCTAAACTATCAAAATCACCAGTTTCTAATAGCCCCATCCCTAAAACTGCAACCACATGAACCAAGATCCTGGCTATAAATTCATTCCTCGAAAGCACCACATGATGAAGAAGTAATATAAGATCAGCTATGAAAATTAATAAATGATTTGCCCATAGGAAATGTTTCCCCAAATATAAATTCTAGAAAATGATAAATGAAGCAAAAAGGAACAAGTAATCTATTCTATAATATTATAATCTCTCTTGAGAAGTGAAAGAGGGATGGTAGAGAATTCACAAAATAAAAAAATATAATACTATTTGAAACTGTGGATTTTGATATCTTCAGAAAAGTAATAGAGCAATTCTGTTAAGAGAATTGTTTACCTTAAGGCAGAAGCCAGACCAGATGACTTTTCAAAATTCCTTCAACAATAGAATTTTATGTTTATGACAAGTTGTTTATTTAGGAAGCATGTACTGTTTGCAATTTGCTGTAAAACTTTTATTATTATTTTTACCTGAGGAGGTGCCTTTTTCAGTAACACAAGGAGAGCCTGTAAGACCAGATTAGAAAACCGAGGGCCAATAGGGACATAATCTGGAAGAGAAACATGGCTGTGTTAGGGACTCTATGCATAGACCCCACACTCCCCACACATTCAGGCAACTATCTGTAGGGAAAAAACTCTAATATCCTGATGCTTAAAATATCACAGAAGAACCTTTAAATTATAAATGTCTTGAAAAATCTTCTAAATAACCCTTTTGAGTTCATGTAGACAACTTTGATTTTCAGAGTTTTTTTTTTTTTTTTTGGTATGGTGGGTGGTGAGGGATAGCAGATATATTTACCAAGCAGTTCTAAGATATCACTGCAAACCATGACAGGAATATGGTATGGCTAACAAAATACGTCACTTGAAAATGGACGGAGGGGAAGTCATAAGTGAACAATTACTTCAGCACACAGCATGAGCACTCTCGTCCCAGTCGTGGATCTACCTGCATGAGCACTCTCGTCCCGGTCTTGGATCTACCTGCAGCCATCAGCCCCCCGTGTCACTTGCTCAATGTCCAGGACACAGAGCACCTTCTGCTTTGCATTAATTTTTGCCAATACAGGTTATAGCAGACAGGCAGCTTCTTACTTCTGGGACCCTAGTAATTCATCTCATGCTTACTGAATAAATGAACAAACAAGTACAGATAATAACTATTCATACAAGGGAAAATATACGCAGAGGGCACACATTCCTGACACAGTAGTGTTGCTATGACCACACATCTCAATTGTGTTTAGATAAAGGAATTTACACAGAGCTATGAGTTTGTGCCTAAAAGCTTTTAAAGAAATAATCCTATAAACTAGGCTGAGATATATCAAATACAGCAGACCAAAAACCCAGGTCACTAGATAAAACTATCAGTTTAAGAATACCTCATAGATATGCCAGCTTTGCTTTATAACAAATATTCCCAAAACTTAAAAAATAAATAACAGAGGACCTAACACAAGTCTGAAAATCACAGGGAAACTGTAGTAGAAACAGCTGATGTGAAATCATTACTATACTATTATGGACAGCTTATGGAAGAAGGGATTAATCAAGCATTGAATAGTATTTTCAGACATTTATTAAATCGCTAGGTGGGTTTCTATTTCAATCGAGTTTATTATCCCATCTTGAGCCATTATTATGAATTTATGCAAAGCTGACTTAATTTTACAATGAAATGAAATCCAAGAGAAACAACAACTCCTGGCACTTCCTTGTGGTTTGCTCCTCGGGCACTGAGCTCAGAGACTCGGTGTATTCCTTTCCGTCTCCTGTAGGAGTGTACTTCCACACAGGAGATGTTTAACAAACAGTTTAAACATTACTATAGAGCACTTTTACCTTCCAGAATGTTTGCAACATCTGTCTTCACAATTACTCTGTGGCATAAGCAAGGAATGGATTACAGTCTCTGTTTTATAAGAACAGAAACTGAGGCACAGGAAGCTTACAACTTCTGCCTCAAGTGTTTTAGCAGATTTGTGGATTTCACTCTGATCCTAAACTCTTCTTTCATTAGTTTTGTCAAAATTCACAAGTGGTCCTCTGAGCTATAGCAATTATACGCATCAATGAAAATTACTAATCATATTCTATGAGCAGGGCACATTGTAGAAGACAGAAAATAATATGAGACACAGACCCTTTCAAGAAGCAGTTTATACTGGAGTCAGTCATAAAACAGATTAGTATGAATACTGTCACTGACATCAGATGTAAAAGATAATATTTCCTTGTAAGACAAAGGAGAGTATTTTGATTGCTCTACAGTTTATAAATACCTGTTTTTTCACTTATAATTTTTGAGACATTAGCTGCAATGTGGCAAAGAGGATACAATGATAGATGTTATGACTCACCTAGCAATCTCTCAATGTCATCCACAACCACACAACTGAGCTGGGATTTATACGCATCATCAAAGATCTGGAAGAAAGCAAAACCATTTATTATCTTACCACCCTCTGTAATTATGACAATTTTCAAGAATATCACATTTAGTAAATTCTTAGGCAATATCTAAACAAAGTATAGTAAAACATCAATACTTCAAACCACAAAAAATTATTTGGAGTTTAACAAGCTATAGGATTTTAGAACTGAAAAAGTAAGTCCTTGCAAGGAAACTGAGCATAAGCAATTAAATTACTTGCCCAGGAGGACACAATGTGGATCATGGCTGAGCACAGAGACGCAGGTGCCAGCTGTTCCTTTGTCACCTGACATATCCCATCACGTTCATCACACCGACCTTAAGAGCACAGCTTCAGTGTTGTGACCCAAGAAGGAGGTGTATAATAAAATGGAATGCCGATTTACTATCTATAAGAATTGTGGGGGGCCGGCATTGTGGTGTAACAGATAAAGCTGCCGCCTGCAGACATCCCATGTCGGTGCTAGTTCGAGTCCTGACTGCTCCACTTCCAATCCAGCTCCCTGCTAATGTGCCTGGGAAAGCAGCAGAGGATGGCCCAAGTGTTTGGGTCCCTGACCCATGTGAAAGATCCAGAAGAAGCTCCTGACTCCTGGCTTCAGTACAGCCCAGCTCTGGCTGTTGTGGCCATTTAGGGAGTGAACCAGCAGATGAAAGACCTCTCTCTCTGTCTCTTCCTCTTTTCTCTGTTAGTCTGCCTTTCAAATAAATAAATAAATGTTTTAAAAACAAACAAACCAAAAAAACCCAAAAAGCAAAACAAGAAAGGACTTGTGTCTCTGTTAAGCAGGAATAACGCTAAAAGACCAGAATCCCATCAACTCAAATCAGATCACAACAGTACAAGGATTCACAAAAGAACTAAAGTTGGGTATGAAGGATCAGATAGACATATGTACAAAACCAAACAAAAGATAAGAGTACATTGTCTTAAGATAGCCAAAGAAATGCAAATTAAAACAAGCAGCAAAGAAGTTATATCCTGGCAAGTATGCAGTCATTCCAAATGAGGCAGAATTAATTTACGTATAAATTGGATCTAAGTGTTCAAAGCTTGGAGACCAGCTTTTTTACAAATGATGGGAGTTTCTGTTCTAGAGACTACCAGTGAGGCTCAGAGGATCCCACTGGGGTCAGGAGGAAGAATTAATTTCTGCATCCCAGCCTGATCTGGTTGATAAGGCACAGAAAGACGGCAAAAACTGCCCCTCTCTTCTTGCTTGGGGGTGGCACAGTGTTCTTAGCGGGAACCTTTTAACCTTAGGAGTTCTGGACTTCGGTATGGAAATCAAGTAAATCACACTCACAATATTTATATTTTTCTTTTTTAAAAAAAGATTTATTTATTTATTTGAAAGGCAGAGTTATAGAGAGGCAGAGGCAGAGGCAGAGGCAGAGAGAGAGAGAGAGAGAGAGAGAGAGAGAGGTCTTCCATCCACTAGCTCACTACCCAAATGGCTGCAACAGCCAGAGCTGAGCTGATCTGAAGCCAGGAGCTTCTTCCTGGTCTCCCATGTGGGTGCAGGGACCCAAGGACCCGGGCCATCCTCCACTGCTTTCCCAGGCCATAACAGAGAGCTGGATTGGAAGAGGAGCAGCTGGGACTAGAACTGGCGATATGGAATGCCGGCGCCGCAGGTGGGGGATTAACCTATTATGCTACATCGCTGGTCACAAAAGTATTTATAATAATTAAGAAAAATTATCATAGTAGAGTCTCACTGTCACCATCTTAATTCAGTTCCTTGTTATATTTTTCTTGATACAAATACAACAATTTCTACCTCCAGATATTTAATCAGGTCAGTCCTTCTGGTAGAAATGCCTTCCACCCTCTTAACCACTCAATCACTCTCCCACATCCTCTCAAAATCCCATCTCTCCTTTCATCCTCAGCTATCTGTCTCTCCTCTGGATTGTGAGGTAGATAAAAACTTCACCCTGTTAGTGTTACACCTCTTGTAACCAGCACAGAATAGTAGTCAGCAATGATGTGTACTCAATAGATTCAATGGTTGAAACAAGACAAATTCTCATTCCTCTTGCCTTAGGTCTCTCTCCTCCTTTGGTACAGCATGGAGTACATCGCGTACACATTATGGACTCATTGTATCCTTCCCAGTATTATACTAGATTTTAAACCTTCAGAAGATAAGCACCGTCTCAATGATCTCTGTTTCCTCATCTTATTTAACATAATGCCTCACTAGTAGTAATGATAAGTATTTACTGAAAGAATAAATTTATGTATTTTAAATTCAAGTAGAAATATCAAGTAGGCAGTTGGAGACATCTGACTGAAGTCACATTACAGAAATCACTCTCAGGGCAGTGACTGCTGCAAGCAGGACGATGAGATCTTCAAGGAGAAATGGGAGGAGCAGAAAAATCAAGGACTAAGGACTGAATCTCGAGTGTCGCCTCATTCATTCACATTCAACAAGTATTTCAGAATTCCTACTAATGAATTAGGCATTGATGAAGGCACTTGAGAGAATACTAAGACAAATATGACCCTACTTTCACAGAAGTTCAGAGGTCAGGGAGCAGATCACATGTGACCAGGACAGAGCCTACATTATTATGCCAGAGGAAATCCAAGAGGATATGGGGTACATAGCTGCGGTTGTCGCTGGTTCTCTTCCTGGGCACAGGGTAAGAAGTACTTCTGCATCCCCTCTGAGGTCAGGCATGACTATGACATTCACTTTGATTGGTAAAACAGGAGTGGAAATTTATTACTTTCTGATGTTCGTGACTAATGTTCGTGACTAACCATCCTCTATTTCCTGTCTTGGCTATCGTGGAATCGCACGTGAGATGGACACTAGATCTCTGAGAAACTACGATGAGCAGAGCTCACATTCTGAGCCATTGTGGCCACTGGTGTTGAGTGAGAAATTTTTTTTTTTTTTTTTTTGACAGGCAGAGTGAACAGTGAGAGAGAGACAGAGAGAAAGGGATTCCTTTTTCCATTGGTTCACCCTCCAATGGCCGCCACGGCTGGTGCGCTGCAGCTGGCACACTACGCTGATCTGAAGGCAGGAGTCAGGTGCTTCTCCTGGTTTCCCATGGGGTGCAGGGCCCAAGCACTTGGGCCATCCTCCACTGCCTTCCCAGGCCACAGCAGAGAGCTGGCCTGGAAGAGGGGCAACTGGGACAGAATCTGGCACCTCAACTGGGACTAGAACCCGGTGTGCTGGCACCGCTAGGTGGAGGATTAGCCTATTGAGCCACGGCGCCGGCGAGAAATTTCATTATGTTAAGGCACTGTGATTTGGGGGCCAGCTTATTACTGCTGCACAACTCAGCCTATTCTCCTTATTCATAGTTTTAGGGGATTAAGGATGGTTTTCTAAATTCAGGAAATGACATTTAAGCAGAGATCTAAAGGATGAACAAGAGTTAACTAGAGGGAAAGGGGACAGAAAGTGTTCTAAGCAGAGTGTACCGAATATTAGGAGGCAGAGAGATGAGCAATCTAGGAACACAGGAGGAACGGACACAGAGACAGTAAGAAGTAAGCTAGAGAAGTGTTGCACCAGTGTTGGGTTTGGGGCTGTGGAGGGTGAGAGGCGACGCAAGTGCAGCGACAGGGGAGCTGCATGGAGAGAGTCTTTGATGGCAGCCTGGAAGTGGATTTGTAGAGGAGTAAACACAGTCAAGAGATATTTAAGAGGCTGAACTGAGCACATGGTGAACGAATGGCGTGGTGACAATGGAGAAACCAGGGTGACACTGCCCTCCTGGTCTGGTGAGTGAAACAAAGAACAGAGGAGCAGCTCGCTGGGCAGGGGGTTGTGGGTACATTTAACAAGCAGAATGAGAAAGGCACCCTTCACTAATTTGCCTCTAAAAAAAAAAGAAAGAAAAGAAAAAGGAAAGAAAAGTAAGAACTGGATACTTACTTTAGCCTCCTTATACACAATTATGGTTCCTTTTGCCTTTGAGTTGGTGATTCAAGACAATGGAAGAGTTTAGAAGCAGTTCCACAGTGGTTCTGTGCTGTTTTTAAGACTGAACCAATACAGCAGCCAATGTGGTATCATACAAACTCAGGTGAGTTCAGGAACTCACCAAATACCACGCTTTGCTTTTCAACACGTTTTCTAGAATTCCACTTAAAGCTTTAATGAAAGCATGGTGTTCTGTTCCTTAGGCCTGGACCATGTGCTGGGTGCAGTTCTGCATTCCCCGAGTCAGCCCTTCTTTCTCTAAACACACGATGGCTTACAAGGCTTCAGGGATCTCACTCAGGACACTGTGGCGTCTAAACTGGGAAGCTGCTACGTCTCATCAACTTATCTCAGATACTGTATGTGGTCTCATCAACTTATCTCAGATACTGTAATTCACGGAGCATTACAAACCACCTCACAGTTGACTTCAAGGTCCACCTATTTTGGAAGAAAAATACTTACAAGTAGCCACTTCATGTAAAGTTGGGTTCGTTTTGTTACAGACAGCTCTCAATGTATTAATTACTACCACCCAAAGAGGAGCATTCATAGCTAACTCTCTTAGCAATCTACTACCCATGACAAAGGCTGTGTAATTCCAGTTGTAACTAGTCAACTGAAACTGCTTTGGGTAGCTACCACCCTAATTTAAATAAATATACACACCCCTTTCACTTCTCACACATACACTTTCTTCCTTATCTGGTCCTTAGTAGTCTATGAGATCATCACTCTTTCCCTGGTACACAATTTCTGCCTGGTCTCCTCAGCTCCCTCCACTCCTGCCCCCCTGGCCCAGGCCCCAGAAAACGCTCTGAAAGAAGAGACTCAGATTTGCCTGGCAAGGATGTGGGGTTAGCTGCCAGACAAAATCTAAGCAAGGTTTTTAGGAAGATAAATCCAATCAGGAGGAGAGGTACCAGAAGATGCAAAAAAATTTAAATCATACAAACTGCCCCATTAGGATTCTCTATATAACTGAAATGGCAAATTGACCATCAATAGCAGCCCACAACAGCTATACAGTGCCTGTG